TGGTGGAACCCTTTGAAAAATGTTTGTTTTGATATGTCTTTACTATAATATAATGAACCGGAATCTGGGCATTCCTTTGGGTCCAATACTATAAAAAGGCTTTTCATTATATTTTCAATTCATTTATGAGTCTTCCATCAATTTATTATTTACTAAAGTTTTATAACCAAATAAAAATCTTTACCAGTATTTATGAGAATTTAACCATGATTATTTTAAGTATAAATTGTCATTAATTCAGAGTGCTTCAAAATGTGTCACTATTTTGACCAATCAAATGAGTTATTTATATAATAAATAGTTTAAACTGATTTGCTCTCTCTCTCTCCCTCTCCCTCTCTCTCTCTCTCTCTCTCTCCCCCTCTCTCTCCGATAAGATATATTACAATAATTATATGAAATTCATGTAATTATTCAATAGAGTGAGTAAATGGACAAACTATAGCCTAAATGAACTGAAATACTGAAGTTCTAATAATAAGAAAAACAATTTATTCTTTGATAATAAAGATTTTCTGCCAATCATTCCAGACATTGATTTTCACACAAAGGACTGCTTTTTCTTATATGACTTTCTATTAAATGTCTCATTTAATTAATTAGATTTTTTTGGTTTATACTGTATAAACATTTAAATTAAAATAGCAAAAATCGATTAATAACAGCAATTGATTGGGCCATGATTTTATTTAGTCTTCATTTACTACACATTATTAATATTTTCATATAAATTATATTCTTATATAACTTCTTGTTGTGACATTTCTGACAGAAAAAGTGATTTTCTTTCAATTGATAAGACATTAACGTAATGGTTGTCCTTATAGTTCACAAAACACTAAAAATTGATTCTATTTTGTAATTTCGTGTTAAGATTTGATTGCATTCAAAGACCTATCACTACACTAAACACATGAGGCAGAAATCAATAGGTCTGACCTATTGCTTAACAAAACAAGACTTAGAAAAATATCCTACATTTTCACTGAACACTAGCTATTTTTATAGAACTTTTATTCTTACAGAATTTTAAGCAAACAAATCAAATATTTTTGATGTAAGTCATTAATAATCTATATTATAGATTCTATAAATATAAGTTATAAGTTTAAACCTTAAAAACAAATCATTCTAAAGTAGTATTTTGTAAATAAAATATTGATAACATTTGTAGAAATGTCTGCGAAAATGTAGCGATTGTCTGGATGTGTTTGACACTACACTAGTCCGATGACCGCAACAAATGCAAGTCAGTCTCATTTGATAGACTTTCATCAGAATAGATGTGTTTGTATTGCTTTTTCGAGTCATCGAATGGCAAACAAACAGAAGTCAAGCCATACGAGTATAATGTAATACAAAGCAGTGCTAAATAAGTGAAACAACTTTACGCTAAAATAGGTCTCAATTCTATTGTATGTTATAATAGAAAGTACTCAATGATTGACTACAAGCTGCCGATTCATCGTATGGGACCCACAAATGTATTTGTTATATAAATAATATCTGCAATTAAGTCAACAAATTTACTCTACTTTATCCTTATAAGACAAATCCTTATTACATCTTATTATTAATATACGATATCATACATTTATTTAATTCATTTGCAGACATAATTCACAGAATTCCTAACCAATCTCATAATTGTAAACAATTTCCATTACCATATATAATTTTGGTAATATAATTTAGTTCATATATACAACTAGAAATATATAATTTCATATAAAATTGAAAAATTATAAATAGTATTAAAGTATTTGTTAAAAATATTAGGAATTAGCATAAAATGTGTCCAAAAGTGAGTGAAAGGGAGGGAATGCACTAAAAAAGTGTAGAATAGAGCGGATCTATATATAGAGCAGATTTGGTGACTTTGATCCTCTCCTCTCTCTCCTCTTTTGCCACTTATGACTATCTATTGAAGGGAACGACTTCTCCCTCTAAAAAACTAGAGTCCTATGAAAAAGTCATTTCTGTTTTGGAAATGTATTCAATTGAATAAAATTTGATAAAAGTAGAAAAAAGTGATATGCGATGCGAGTGAACATATAATGGATCGCAAGAATTTCATAGAATTGAATGGCATTTAATGTATAAATACTTAGATATCATATATTATACGTTATATTGATATGATTTACGGGCAAATGAGAGCAATGTTTGCATGACTTACCGCTTGAACTGATACCACAATATATTAAAGACATAATAATAAGAGTTAAATACTTTTGAATATAGCTATACATAATAGTTTACAAAATAGTTATTCATTATTAAAACATTGGCCACAAAAGTATTAAGTTTTTTGTTGGAATATTGATCACTAACAATGAGAAAACTTATTTGTTTCACATTTGCATCGATTTGGAAAAGTGAATTAAATATTGAATACACTTATAATGAAATTGTGTGAAAACATATTCACTTCAATATTTATAAACACATTAAACACAACACAAGAGAGAGTGAAAGCATCGGATTATGAGATGTGATGTGATATCTGTGGCAAAGAATAGCATCGCTTCTTAGCATACCTTCAGTACAGCATTAGTAGAGCACAGACTCCGGGATGTTTGCCATGAGACTAACCCATACAACGATGCTATCACTCGCTTCCATGTGTGTGTTGGGCGACGCCACTCCACCATCTAATGCCTTACAGTGCTCTACAGTGCCCTTCCTATCAACGGGATAGAGAGAGGCAACGCCAGGGACACCGATCTCCCAGTCTGAGTCAGCTCAGTTAGTCTGTAGTCATTAGCTGACTCAGCTCTACCACACCATTCCTGATCACATCTCTCCTCTAATGCTATGTTCTGTTTGTTATAGACTTTACAGTAACGAAAGACCAGTTATAACAGTAGCACCAAATCATGCATTCAATGATATGTTTGAGAGCACCCATTGATTTCGTACGCACAAATTGACTGCAAATTAACATTAATTTTAAATAATTAGGAAATCAGTCATTAATTGATAGTTATTGTAGACTTCGAGTCTACTTTGTATAGAGTTATCAACGAATTGATTCATGTCTGGGACTATGAAAAAGTAAACAAATGAAAAACAAATGAATGAATGAATGAAGCAAAGAGAAAAAGTTTGACTAATTTAATAAAGTTATCGTAAAAATATGGTTCTTTCAAAATTAAGGTTTATTTTTTGGGCAAATAATTAAATTGTCGCTAAACTTATAAATAAAGACATTTATATGAAGAATGAGTTATGTTTTAGTGAATTAAATATTATATTTATGTAATTTAATGTTCATTTAATGAACTTTTTTAAGACAGATATCAATTTGAGTAGAGTATGTCCTTAAAATTAATGACATTTTGCTTTATTTAGTAGATTCTCAAACTTAATGCGAAAAATTCCTCAAATAATAGTCATATTTCAAAGAATTAAAGTTAATTAGAAAAAGCCATAAAATATAAGTTATTCCGGACTATAGATGTCAATACAAATGCTACACATGTCTCATGTCTGCAAACTATTCAATGAAAAGTTTGTGTATTTTTACAAATCATATGTCAATTCATTGAATGAATGAATGGACAACTGAAGTGATCCAGAAGTGTCCGCAAGTGATGTATTCATTGCTCTGCAGACGACATATCCATCTGAAAGACATACTGAGAAGAAGTGGACAACTGGTGAGATGTGTGGACACAACTGAACGCACGGCTAATGCCTGTGAATCGGATTTAAGAGAAAGGATTTATTCGTATCTCTATATTAGCCCTCGTTTTGCAAACATTGTATACAATGTATTGCAACCTAAATATGACCTCAACTTCCTTCATAAGACCATGGATTCAATTCAAGACATTCAACGCATCCATGCGATCAGAAGTCTTAGCCTCGACTCTGATCTCAACCAAATGGCCGTCCAATTGAAGCAATTGATTGAATTGAAGACAACTTTGGAGCCAAAAGTTGACATTAAATACAAATTAATGAATAAAATTCAGTCAAAGAAACGCAAGAATCAAGAGATCAGCGAAGAGTTAAACCAAGAGTACAGACAAATGAGTGATGAGATCAGAGAACTGAATGAAAGGGTCTATGATTTAGAGGAAGTGGTCATAAAGTTTGTGCTCAATATTCCCAATGATATCAGAGATGATGTGCCGCAAGAGATTCATGTGATCTCCCATTTCGAGCCCAAAGACAAATGCAGACAATTATACAAACATTTAAATTACATTCAATTGTCTTATATTAACAAATGTCTCTTCAAATCAATAGTTGGTCCCAAATCTTGTTATTTAATGGGAATCAGCGCTCAATTGAACCACTCTTTGGTCGAGTTTTTTGGCCAAAATCTACGCCAAAAGAATTTCGTCGATATTTCTGGTATTGATTTCGTGAAGACAGCGGTCGTCGAGTCGACTAATTATCACGACTTATATGACTATAAATCAGATCAACTTCAGGTGAAAGCCAAACACAACCAATCGCTTAATGATGAGGTGAATCAGAGTTTGCATTTTGTGGGCAATTCCTCGTTTGAGTCCATTTGTGCCGTAATTAGCAAAAGAATATTCAACTGGACTTCCGGTGATATTAAGCTCTTATCAATTGGACAGCAATTTGAGCAAAACTTGAGTCAAAATAATTCACTGAATGCAGTGGTGATCACCAAAGATGACATGCATTTGTCTAACAATCAGATGAATAGTTTATACGAATTGTTGTGGAAGTGTTTCACGCAATTAGACCTCAAATGTCGTGCAATCCGGTCGAGTGTCCATCAGTTAGAAAGGAGTCAATTCTCGGGCATCGATATCGAGGTTTGGCTCCAATCGCAGAACCAATGGATAACCGCATCACAAATCACTCATTATAAGGATTACGTGAGCATTCGTTTGGGCGCTCCCGACAGTCACCTCATCAACGCTTCCATACATTTGTTGCCAATCATTACAGCAATTATCGAACAAAACCAGACCACCGAAGCCGACATAGAAATACCCGATTGTTTGAAACAATATTTTCTTTAATTGATTACAAATTAAAATTTATTAATCGCTACCAAATGTAAAACATGTTTGAATCAAGTGTTGAATTTATTATTGCAATTATTGATGAGATAAATTGCAGTAAAACTATAATTTAGAACTAGATTTCAATTAAATTACAATAATTATAATCATCTCATTGGCCATTAGGCCGCCTGGAAACTGGTCATGAAATCTGTCACCAGTTTCTTGAGTTTAGCGTCAGTTGCGTCACTAATCTGGCCTTCAGTGGCGATCGTACTCAACAGGTCTTTGTGTGAAGTCTTGACGTGCGCTAAGAACTCCTTCTCGAACTTTCCAATCTTCGACGGATCCATTTTATCCAGATATCCACGAACTCCGGTGTATATGACTGCCACCTGATCTTCAATGGGCATCGGAACTGAAAGTCAACAAAATGTTTATTGCAATGCCTTTCGTTGACCACACAATCACCAGTCGCCTACCGTATTGGCCTTGTTTTAGGAGTTCCGTCAAACGCACGCCTCTATTAAGCAGTTGTTGTGTAGAGGCGTCTAAGTCTGAACCGAACTGAGCGAAAGCGGCCACTTCTCGATACTGAGCCAACTCTAGTTTCATGGAACCGGCCACCTGTCCACCAATCACTTACTTTAGTCACCATTTAATATATTCAACTCAATTCACACTCCAATACCTGTTTCATGGCTTTGGTCTGAGCGGCAGAACCCACACGACTCACAGACAGACCCACATTAATGGCCGGACGAATGCCTTTGTAGAAGAGCTCGGTTTCTAAGAAGATCTGTCCGTCAGTAATAGAGATGACATTCGTTGGAATATACGCAGAGACGTCACCGGCCTGTCAGTTGAGTGAAACATTAGTACCAATTGACAGCAAATTGACATTCAAATTGACATTCAAACACTCACTTGAGTCTCAATGACTGGCAGTGCTGTCAAAGAGCCGCCGCCGAAGTTATCATTCATTTTGGCCGCGCGTTCGAGTAATCGCGAGTGAAGGTAGAAGACGTCTCCGGGATAGGCCTCACGACCGGGCGGTCGGCGCAACAAAAGAGACATTTGACGGTAAGCGACGGCCTGTCGTTGGATTCATTGCAAGCATTAGTCAAACAAATATCGATAATACCGTAAAAACAAAAGCAATTACTTGTTTCGACAAATCATCATAAATAATGAGCGCGTGTTTGCCACTGTCTCTGAAGAACTCTCCCATTGCGCACCCGGAATATGGGGCCAAATACTGAAGAGGCGCCGCATCGGAAGCCGTGGCGCAGACCACAATCGTATACTTCATGGCGTCCGCATCTGTCAGACGTTTGACGATCTGTGCGACAGTAGATCTCTTCTGTCCGATGGCGACGTAAACGCAATACAACTTCTTCTTCTCGTCTGCCGCGTCGTTGAATCGCTTCTGGTTTATGATAGTGTCGATAGCAATGGCTGTTTTGCCGGTCTGTCGGTCACCGATAATCAACTCTCGCTGTCCTCTACCGATGGGCACCAAACTGTCCACAGCTTTCATACCCGTAAGCATAGGCTCTCTCACACTAACGCGGGGTATAATTCCGGGCGCTTTCGTACCCACTCGAGCCCTCTTTGTGGTGGGAATCGGTCCCTTCCCGTCGATCACGTTTCCCAACGCATCCACCACTCGGCCCAACAGCTCAATACCGATGGGAACGTCCACAATAGCACCGGTCCTCTTGACGATATCGCCCTCTTTGATGAGTTTGTCGTTACCGAAGACCACAATACCCACGTTATCGGGCTCTAAGTTGAGGGCCATTCCCTTGAGACCACTCGAGAACTCCACCATCTCTTCCGCCTGAATGTTCTTCAGGCCGTAGACTCGAGCGATACCGTCACCGATGGACAGCACGCGTCCGGTCTCATCGAGATTGGCGGCCGCCGTTTGGCCCAAAATCCTCTCCTCCAGAATGGTCGACACCTCCGCCCCACCGGACGCCCGGAGTTTACCGCTCGTCGATATGCAACGGATGGCATTCATGGCGACCGGCGAATAGGCTTTCGATAGCTTAAGACACGCAACAATTGGGGTCACGACAGGAAGGTATGGGCCACTCGTGCGGACAGACTCACGTGTTTCAGAAGCGACGCCTTTGTGGCCGTACTTCGGCTCAGATTCAGTGATCGCACGGCGAGTGAACTGAACGCCATTTTGTTGTCCTTCTAATCAATCAAAGGTTATATCAATTAGTTATCAATCGATTTGAGTCCCGATTCGTGTGATTGGCATTCAGTCCGCAAATGGTGTGCGAAATGAGTGGCAAATGAGATGCAAATGAGGGGAAAGGGTGTGAAATACTGACCGCTAAATGGGGTATAAAATGAATCAAATGTTAGCCCTGTTTGAGGTCTGCTTTCACGACACGCACTGAGTCTGCGCTCTAGTCGTCAGTCCTTTTAATGTCTCGTTATTTATATTTCGATGGTTTGTATGGAAAAGCGATTCACAAAACCATTGATTCATTGAAACAATCGACTCATCAGTTCATTGTGAACTGCATTCACACCACAACACATCCCATGTGATGACAGGTCCCAACTGATCCACTTTGCAGTCATTTGCGCTCATCTGTGGTCATCGCACACTAGGTTTGCATCCATTGTCTGCCACTGATTGGCCACCAATTGATGTGTGAATTCATTTGATGACAGGTTTATCAGAGACGAGATGTGATGGCAGTCAGTGTTAATCAGCTGTTACTGGACGCCAAGAAATTGGTGACAAAACTCAAAGATTATGACACAAAGACTGATCACCTGATGGCCAGGAGTCAGACGCTTAACAAATCAGTCGAAGCCATGAAAGAGGTATGAATTTGATGAACGAATGCTGCGCTGATCTAACGGTATGTCTAACTGTATTCTTCGGGGATCAGTATCACGAAGAAGTTCAGGCAATGAGTTCGCGATCGACTTCTAGCCAAAGAAATGCCATAATTATAACGATTCAGAGGGAAAGCAAGCAATTGCGGAAACTGGAGGTCGAGAACCGGGAGCTGAAGTGCGCTCTCGAGGACTATCAGTCGGTGTTGGAACTAATTATGAGTAAATACAGACTTCAGACCAACCAATTGATTAAACTCGAGAGAGTGGAGACCGAGTGTCTCAACAGTCAAAGCAATGACTCCAATGAAGTGATAATGAAACTGAAGAATAAAATCGCAGAAATGGCATCAGTTATGAACCAATCGATACTAACGGATGAAACAAATGCTTTCAAAGAACAGGAACTGATCGCCCGATTGAGAGTCGAGAACAAAGCCCTCCGAGAGTTGCTTCAAATCAGCAAAACTCACGGTTCTCTACATAATCACGCAACCAATGATGAAAACTGAATCCATTAGCCATTCAATGTCTATACAGTATATATAAGTCTTTCTTTTGATTTTAATTGTTTTATAATAATTATAAGAAATTAAATAAATATATTTATAATTAATTTGTTTACTAAAAGTTTTATTCAATTTAATCCGTAAATGATTTTATTTTCTGTTTGCTTCATAATCGCTGTAATACTCGATGGGATTCTTAGGGTTTCTATTAGTTTCAGAAACATTGTCACCGATTATCTCATTCTCTGGCGTCTTAAGTGTTCGAAACACTTGTAATGCCTTCAGAAGTGATAGTGAATTGTGTTAATAAATTGTATACTGAATAAGCGGCAAATGATTTGATACCTGAGTTGTCATTTTGGCGACATCTGAGGCGTCGTTGGACAGAATGATAGTGTTATTGGTTTTGGCCAAATGACTGAAGGCTTTGACGTACTGTTCGGCCACATTGAGTGCGGCCGCGTTTTCGCCGGAATTGCTTTTCAGCATTTCTCCCACCATTTGGATCCCTTTGGCCTTCGCCTCAGCCCGAGCTATAATGGCTTTGGCCTCACCTATGGTTACCATTCAAAGCATTCGTCAGAATCTTAAGGAATAGAGACAATCAAATGAGACAAACCCTCGGCGTTATTGATTTGTTCCATTTTCATGGCCTCTGAGGCCAGGATGCGGGCCCTCTTCATGCCTTCGGCGACGTTGATGTCGGCCTCTCTGCGGCCCTCAGACTCGAGAACTGCGGCCCTCTTCTTGCGTTCGGCCTCGACCTGCATTTGCATGGCTTCCTGGACACGATTGGGTAAAGATATGTCTCGGATCTCATACCGCAAACACATCAGACCCCATGTCTTACTCGCCGCATTAATCGACTCAACGATCCCTATATTCAGTGATACTCTCTCTTTGAACACTGAATCCAAAGTGATTTTTCCGATTTCCGATCGCATCGTCGTCTGAGCCAATTGGGTGATCGCGAACTCGGGGTCTTCGACGCCATAGGAGGCGGCGTACGGGTCCACCACTCGGAGATATAGCACGCCATCGATGTTAAGCGTTACGTTATCTGCCGTTACGGCCGACTGTTGAGGAATATCTATGGCTAACTCTTTGAGACTCTGAACATAACTAATCTGATCGATAATAGGTATGAGGATATTAAACCCGGGATCTAATCAATAAAATCAATTAAATGTTGAGTTTGTGGTACATCTGCAGAAGAGTAGATACGTGCTTGCGATCCATACCTAATATTTTGTTGAATTTGCCCATCCTTTCGATAATCCAAGACTCCTGTTGGGGAACAAACACCACACATGTGTTCATACGTGCGGAATGTCTTAAGCGGACAATTGTGTGGTTTAGATGCAAATCGTTTGTCAAAAATCTCAACTTATTTAAAGAGTTTGGTTTCATTAGGGTTTGAGACAAATGCCGAAACGATAACATTTTGCTCGCAATCTATGAATGTCTTACACAACACACCAATGGTCTGAATGAAGAAGTGAGGAACAGTTCAGTGATCACAACTGACACTCTGTTTAATGATTACACTTTGATTACAAGTCACACATTGGATGCAAATTGTGAGCAAAAGTGTAAACAAAAGCATCGATTATGAAATGTGTGAATGCATTGCATTAGTGTTACTGTAGTGTTGCCTATCATTGAATCATTCAGTGAACTGCATATTACGGTTACCGGCATTAAGTGGCGGAACCAGTCTTACTATTATTTTATTATTAGACACAATTTGGTTGAACACGGGAACCAGTCTTCATATTTAGTGATCAGTGACCAGAACTTAGTCTACTTACCCAACCATTGTCTCCATTCGTCGATTAAAAACAACGATTTAATTGAATTAAACAAAATTGTTATAAAACTTTAATTAAATAGTAATAAATGAATATTATAATAAGTATAACTTTTAGTTTTATTAGTTATAATCTGTGAAAACTCGTAAATTATGACAACTTTGATTGTGAACACAAAACCAGAATCGCATGAATTAAGTCTTGCGTTAAACACAAAATTATCCAAAATATTAGATTTATTTGACATTTCAACTAATATGCCGTGTATTCAACTACACATCATATAATTGTTATCATTTCTAAATAACGTTTAAATTTAAATCAATTATTGTTTGTTTAAATAACACTTTAATACAGAATAGAAATGATTAATTGACAGAAGAGTTACCGGTTGTATGAGTAGGGGTTTGCAACAAATCGTCATCAGAAGAGTTGTGATAATTAAGTAAAACATGATTTAGTGCAACAGTTTTGTCAATTTGCTGATTGACAGCACTTTCTTGTGTTTGCGTGAGTTTTGGCTTTTGTTGTGAACACTACTATCGCGTGAACCCTTCACCAGCGACTGCGAGCTGTCGACCAGGGCTTCGATGTCACCGATGGCGGCCGTCTCCGCAGTGGACGCATGACTCGAGAGGGTTGGGCACTGATCCTCTGTCCTCTTCATATGCGACTCCAATAGTATAACGATATCCCGATTTCCGCAATTGTTGGCCACATCTCTGGCATTGCGGCCGTAGAAGTCTATATGCGAGGCATCGGACCCGGCGTTTAGCAGAAGAGAACACGTCTCGATGTGTGCCTGTTGTGCAGCTATGAGCAAAGGGGTGGCGCCCTGTGTGGTCGACACGTGATTGAGGTCAGCGCCGGCCTCTATCATGAGACGGACCACTTCCAAGTGTCCATTCCAGGCACACATATGCAGTGCGGTGCGGCCTTCGTTATCGACTGCATTGATGTCGGCGCCGCAATCGATGAGTGTCTTAACGACATGAGTGATGCCCTGCCAGGCGGACACGTGCAGAGGGCTGCGACCCTCAAGATCTTTCATTTCGAGATCTGCTCCCAATTTCACCAAATGTTGTAAAGTATTGACGACTTTGAGATCATTGGCAGCACTGCTCGCAACACAGTATACAGTAGTCCTTCCATCGGCGTCAACATAATTGATGTCCGCATTGTTCTCAACCAATAAAGTCATTAAATCTAAGTATAAGTTGAGTGCCGACAGTCTGAGCGCAGACTTGCCGTCGTGTGACAACACATTTACCGATTGGTCGCTAACGAGCAGTCGGGCCGCGTCTACATAACCGCCGATCGCGCAGTCGTGTAGAGCGAGCTTTCCGTCGTTATCTCTGGACAACAGCAATGTCTCGCCTCCGATGTCGAGCAATGCCTCCAAAATGTCTGTATTGCCGACGGCTGCGGCCATATGTAAGGCAGTCCTCCCGTTGTTGTCTTTGTGGAGTTCATCGCAACCGACGGATAGCAGGAGACGAACGCTTTCGACGCAACCATTGGCCTCATTAGAGGCCAAACAGAGCAGTGATGAGCCGTTGGCGTCGATGTAGTCGGTGTGGGCGCCCCAGAACAGCAACAACTCTATGATTTGAGGCGACGAGTGGTCGAGTATCGCGTGAACTAATGGCGGTCGAGACAGCGTATCGCAGGCGTCGACATCGGCGTCGTTGTCCAACAAGAGTTCACACATTTCCACTGAATTGGAAGAGACGGCGACCATTAGAGGCGTTAAACCGCTCTCTATATCACAAACACAATTGACGTCGGCTTCAAATTCAATGAGAAGTTCAACGATTGAAATGTTGCCACTCTTTACGGCCCAAAATAGTGGAGTCTTTTGTTTAATAATGTATTGATTCAACATATCTGTCGAATCGTTGGTCAGAATATCCCGAACCGTCGGAACATCACAATTGAGAAGAGCTCTTGAGAATTGGCTCATCAGCTCTTCGTATTCATTATCACTCGGAGGACTTCCGTATATTAAATCGAATTCATTTGAGTACAGTTTCTGTTTCTCTTCATCATTGCTATCATTTGTGTTTAATTTACCACAACTTGAATTGCAATTAGAAGGCGATTGAGACATACATTGACTTTCGTCCACATATTTCCTACACTTCTGTATGAAGTCAATGATTGGCGAGTCTTCGAGCAATTGAGATAAAGTTTGGACATTGACTGACGAGTCCACGGCAAGCAATAGCCACAGCGCGTAGTGATATACAGAGTAATCGGTGATACATGAGTTCAACACATGGAAGTGATGCTCAGTTATGTTGGGAAGACTATTACAGAGCGCATGGATTATATGCCCGAAAGATTGGTCGCATAAAAACCGATTCGTACAGTGCTTTACATCACTGATCCATTCAATAAGACTCGTATGCGTTAATGTTATCCTATTATCACATCTTAACTCTACTATAGAATAGAGAGACAACTCTTCTACTCTCGAGTCCAAGAACTCAATGTCCCAATTAAGACACTTTTCCAGTGACTCTCTGCTAATCTGCGAGTCAGTCGATGCAATGATTAGCGATATAATAGACTTGTAGTGAAGTTCAAACTGTGGATTAGTGTCGAAGAGTTTGGAGCAAAGGAACAAATAGAGACCATTCAGAGTGGCGCCAATGGAGTCCACTTCACTGGTTCTCATGACTTGTCGCTCAAAGCAGTCTAATATGAGTTTGACGTAAAGGAAACAGCCGTTGCTTTTGATGCCGATTTGGTTGAGAGCTTTGCGACCAGTGGTTCCCAACGGACGACAATTTATTCGCCGAATTCGTTGCATTATAAACGTCTTCATGTCGTTAATGACATTCAATTTTCTCATGTCGTCGATCACTATCTTTCGGGAACCGCTGAACATTTTGGTGAACCCTTTGCGGCGTTTGGGTCGAGCGCTCACTATTAGATGAATCCATTTGGGCATCAAATGCATGTGATCTGCGATCAACTGACAGATATCGGCGTTTGTGTCAATCGAGTCGATGACAATAATATGTCTGAACTCTTCCCTCTCCTTATTCTTCACTTCGAGTAACGGAAAGAGAATGCTTTTGCGGAACAAGTCATCGCTGGTCACCACATCGTTGGCGTCATTATCGTCGCAATTATTGTTTAAATTGTTCCCCAAATGAAGTTTGTCTTTGATTTGGGACTCCATTGAGTCCATGAATTGGTTTATGTCATCATTTTCATGGCATTCAAAGAACGCCAATAAATAATCTTTAAATTTCTTCATTTCAATCAACTGTCTGAAGAGAAATGTTTTGCCACTTCCGGCGCACCCGAACACAGCCGTCACACCACTGCTCACATTCATCGGAGTCCTCGTGTCTATTGTCCGCTCAATTTTGGCCAAAACCCACTCACGACCCACGAAGGCCTCATCACTGCCATCGTGAGACACACTCTCACTCATTGTCACAAAACGTTTGTATTAATTCACAAATTGTTTTAAAAGTATTCAAAAAGTATATAATCACTGAACAAATCAATTGTCAATCAAGTCGTCGAGAAATAGTCACAAAAAGGGATCAAAACAACACCACAATCAGCGCATCAGTACTCGTCGTCCTCGTTGGACGCGTTGGCGGAAGTGCTGAACTGCTTTTGCTGAGCGATGGCTGCGTTTTGCATTTGAATCCATTCCTGTTGTTCAATGAGTGCCTGTTCTTCGCGTGCTTTGGCGAACAGCGCCTGTTGTTGCTTCAGGAGCTCCTCTTCGGGGATACCCAAGTGCTCGAGTCGTGTGCTCTGACGCCTTCGCTTGCGTTTGCAGTCATTGACCACCGATTGTGCCTCTGATTTGTATTGACTGAACCCGAGTTTGTCCAAAGCGTTCAACACGTGCTCCGCAGACATGGTCTTCTTCTGCTGCGACTCGCAGATAGTGTTGGCTTCGGTGGTAATGCAGTGAATGAATTCGGAGCAGCACTGGAGGATGAGCTCGCGGGAGTCGTTGGCCACCCGGATGTCTGGCAGGAGTTCTTTGATGAGCTTATTCATGGCCGCCCGAGGGATCGTCAGCTCCTCGTCCTCCTTCTCCGTCGACGCCATTCCTCCGCGGTTTGCACTCAACTATCACCACCAGTGCGAGTAAGAGTCTCTGTGTGGGAGCACTGCGTGTAAACAATGTGTCACCTGTCATACAATGGCACGATTGTGGACAACTCGCAGTATTGTGGACACCAAATGATCATCACATGGACACCAGTGACGGCCAAATGTCACTCACATTGTGTTCACTGAATGTATGAATCGTTGAGTGTTGAGAAATGTGAGACCAATTGTGGGCAAAGGGTTCACAGCATTATCAAATGAAATGCTTGAGAAAGTCAAAACAAATCCATAAAAAGTATTGAAAATCATTGAAAACTCAGTCATTGTATAAATGGTTGGCTTTTGAGCCAATCGTTGCACTCATCCATCACTCCATTCAATGAGCGCTTCATTCAAACAAACCATCTTTTATTGCGTCAAATGTTTCACATTTTAATACAACTTTTATTAAGTTATTATGACTACAGAATTGGTAGGCAGTGGTGACCCCCATCTGGAAGGGTTTGTGGAAGGGTTTGGTCGGGCCTGTGGTGCGATTGAAGATCACTTAATATGAGCCATAAGTCTGATGGACAGCACAGGGACTCACTTATGAGAGGAATACTTGTCTTATCGTTTCGATCGATATTCAGAGCTTTTCTGTAAAATCTGTCGAAACTCTTAATGTTTTGTATTTCGATGTCTTTTGTCATGTAATTCTGTTGCAAACTGTGAGACAATTTGTTAGACAATGGGATGTGGTTTAAGATAACATCACCCCTTCCAGTCCCATATGGAAGTAATTGGGTGTCCACTGAATGGCACACATCTGGTTCTCGTGTGATTCCTTTGAAAAGATCGCATAACAGGTGCCCATCAGTCCATCCACTGTAAGACAGCCCTCATTGGGAAACTCAATCATTTGGAAAATAGACTATTTATGCAAATAAAGTAAATGTTTGTCATAATTAAGCAATAATACAATTGAATGATGTGGAGATCACTAATTTCTTGAAGTCCTATACAATATATATGACTCATTAGTGAAATTCTGTAAATATTTCTGTTACACTAATTTAACATTTATTGCGTGAAATGGTAATACGGTATTTAGATTTTAATACAACTTTTATTATATTTATGTGTTTTACAATTGATTTACAAAAATACAATTAATTTCAAAAGATTTTAAAAATTAAACATAAAATGCGATTTATAAAGTTCACTACTCTATGTCGCACCTAAGTTAAGTGACGTTGACACCTCGTTTACAAAGCAGCTAAAGTATCCTCTTCGATAACACTTCTCTAAACAGCAGTTTTTAGTTACCAGACCAGTGGAATTGGTCGATGTCTTCGTCTGACTTCTGGAGCAAATCAAAGAAACCGGTGCCCAAACGCATAGGCATTCCAGATATGATCGATTCGGAAACACCCAGTATGTGGTCTACCTGTCCATAATAGGCCGCATCGAATAGGTGGTCAGCTGTCCGTTCAAACTATAAATAATAATCAATAAATTGAGTAAATGTCTCAAATATTCAACAAAATGTATGCCAACCGATGCCAACATTAATGACGACTCCTTCATCTTCGCGAGACCGAAGCGAGTGATACCCAACACCTCTCCCTTATAGGTCATGGTATCGGCCAATAGTTTGAGATGTCTTTCATCAATACTGATGCCGTGGTTTTCCATCGTTGACTTAATCTCTTTGATAATCATAGTTCTCGCGGCTTCGATGCCCAAAGTGTGCGACACTTCCATAATGTTATTAGAATAGCTTTTTCTGGGGTCCACCCCATAGGTGGCCATAACATCTCGCAGTCCCTCGCCTTCAATCATGAGATAGTATTCCCCGCTATTGTCACGAATGGCCGCTCGTCTCACTTTATCACAGCCTTTGATCACAACCTTACACAAGGCCTCTCTCAGAGTCCAGGTGTCGGTATTAATGGCCGAAACCGTAAGCATCGACTCCTCGTCGTCCACAATAGATATCTTATTCAAAGATATTCTTAATTGCTTTGCAATCGATTCCTGTATTGAATAAGCGTTTACTTCTAACTACAGAAAGAAATTTATAAGTTTAACATTTTGTGGTCAACTCATTGAAATCAAATCATTCGTTACGTTAAGCAATTTGATTCGATCCATATATAGCTTGATGAGAACAAAGCAGTCATCTCTGGTCACCACTTCTTCCAGATATTCACAGACCTCTCTTAAAGTGGTCTTTTCGATGCGCATCTTCACAGCTCTGGCCATCTCTGGGTTCGTATTGTTCTGAAGAATGGCGCAAATAATTGGCGTCGAAATGGTTTTGTTGGCGTTAATTAATTCCTTGATTCGCGGAACTCCTTGAGTGATGTTCATTGAGGCGACGCCAGCGAAATGAAACGTCTTTAGTGTCATTTGAGTGGCCGGTTCTCCAATACTCTGAGCACAGATGGCACCGACAGCTGTTCCCGGCTCTATGCGAGCCCTCAAGTACTTGTCCCCACACGCAAACAAAAACTTTTGGAGTTGTGTTTTCGTTAATCTCTGGATTTCTTTCACCGCTTTATTATCACAATAACTATCAAAACGCATCTGAATTTTGTCGAGTTTTTCTATAAAGTTCTCCAAAAATACTTTCAACTCTTTCCTGAAATCTGAGGAAACATTTGAATTCATTTCATTCATCTGTTTTTCATACGATTCTCTAATTTCATGGCATGAAAGGGGCGGCTCTTCTTTACACGAATGGACAGCACATGTATGTTGAAGAAGACGCTCCAAATTGATGAGCCGAGAGCTCTCTTCCATATTAGACGGGTCCAGACAGTCGTCGCCATAAATAAACTGAATAACATCTCCACAAGAGTTTCGAACGGATCCGTCGTAATGGGAAACCAGATCCTCGAGCGCCTTAACTAAGCGTCTCTGCATATAACCGGTTTCCGCAGTCTTGACGGCTGTGTCTAACAGTCCTTCCCTTCCGGCCATTGTATGGAAAAAGAATTCAGTTGTCGTGAGTCCCGAATAAAAGCTGTTTTCTACAAATCCCTTCGCGAGCGGAGACTTCTCTTTGTGTCCAAAATGAGGGAGAGTTCGGTCACCAAAGCCGTCGGGAACGCGCTCTCCTCTAATGGTCTGCTGCCCAACACAGGCCACCATTTGGGAGACATTAATAAGAGAGCCTTTAGAGCCGCACATTGCCATCAAAAGCGGAGAGTTTTTAGTTCCGAGTTCTTTGACGCACGCCTTTCCCGCGTGGTCTCGAATCTCAGACAATTCCTTATTAATCATTGATTCCAATGTTTCTTCGGGAGATCGTCCGGCCATTGACTCTAACTTTCCGTCTCTTAATTTGGCGATATATTCGTCTACTTTCTTGTATCCCTTTTCAAACAATAAAGACTTAGCGGCCATAAGTCCCGCAGTGGGCGTCACGTCTTCGATTCCCAACGAAAAGCCTCTTTGAGCTAAACATTAGATTTTCAATTAACACTATATTTGAAAGCCGTTTAAATACAAATTCCTACCAATGAAATAACTGGCCACTCGGGCTAATCGCCACATAACAAGTCCCGCGTAATCGCCATTATATTCACGTAAAACACAGTAAAATATATTATTCTTAGAACCGGAGCCTAATGTGCCCTTTTCAACACAACCGCACAGCAATTGACTGTTTCTGATGACAACAACTAAAATGATATTTAAATCCAATTAAACACTAAAACTAATGTATTATTATTTACTTACACGAGTCGTTAACACACAAGTCTTCGTCTTTTCCGCAATAATTCTTGCCTTTAGTCCTAAGATTGACATTCAAATCACTCGAGTTATTGGGTTTTAAAATTAAACTAAATATTTGTTTCCCACTCCAGAGAGCACAGGGAACCATAATGCATGGCTTTGGCAAATCAATCATTGTCTTCGAATCGGTTCCCGCCATAATCGATGAGATTATTTGAATGGCTTTCGAGCGGTCAAAGAATACATCTTTTTGAGTCAGAAGGTAAGCACCGGTTATGAAGTCCTGAATGGCGGCAATCAATGGCTCGCCATTTCTTGGGGTCAGAATGTTGTTCTTCGTGCCCATGAGAACAGACGCCTCAGCCTTTGCCTCTTCTGTTTGCAATAAATGCAAATTCATTTCGTCGCCATCGAAGTCGGCGTTATATGGCGTACAAACACATTCATTGAACTGAAGAGTCCGGTGTTTATGCACTTTCGCCTGAAGACAACACATTATCCATTAATAAGTGATAAAAATTATGTAAAACAAGAATTTGCTCACTTTATGGCACATTATACTCAGTTTATGAAGTGATGGCTGTCTATTAAATAAGACAATGTCTCCGTTACACAAATGCCTTTCTACGACATCCCCGTTCTTCAGTTTACCCGCAACTGCCTTTCGATTACCATATTTTAAAAATCTGTTTTCAATGCAAATCTTTTATATTAACAGAAAGTAAATTTAACTTCAGTTAAATGCAGAATTCAGGCCTACAGAACAGGAGGTGTTTCAACCGCGGCCCTACATTTAGTCACGGCAACTCATGGTTAACAAAGTATTCAAGTTAGTTGGCGGGAGTGACGCGTTCGGGATATGTCAGTATTTTGGCGATATGTTCGGGAACTCCCACCTCATCGATCTGGAGGTTAGGGTCAGGACTGATGACACTTCTGGAGGAGAAGTCGACGCGTTTGCCGCTGAGATTGCCGCGAAAGCGGCCGTGTTTTCCCTTCAGGCGCTGCACTAACCCACGGCTCGGCTTCTTTGGTCTCATATTGAAAGGAATTCCAGAGATTTCACTGTTTATATAGAGGGCTAACTGGAGCTGAAGGAAGTCCCAGTCCTCGACAATCATTCCCATGTGAGCGCCACTGGACTTGCGTTTGGCTATAATGTCGTTCACGAATATCACTTCACTCAACTTAATGGTCAGGTCGTCCTCATTGGTTCCCGTCTCCAACTCACTGATCACTGACGGTCTTATACAAGAGGGCGGGACAGGGATTCGCGTTAAGATTAGATCCTCAGGTCTATGACTACGGATGACTAGAAATGGGAAATCCTTTTCAGGAATTCGTTTAAATAAATCCAAGACACGGATCGGATCTAAAAGTTCTGATTTTGTTTTCTTAATGAAATCAATGATCTCTTCGTTATTGAACGCGATTTCTGTGAAGTTCTCAATCATTATGTCTTCGGACTTGGACTTGGATGTAGTGGTCGGTGTCATCGCGTGTATGATCTTATAGAGCGATATCTTCTTAACGGGTCCGTTGAAAGCGCTACAAAAGGGACAACACTTGACTTTTTTGCATTTGTCGACCATCTCTTTATGGATGGCCTTCTTCTCCAGAAAACTTAAGTCCGGTTTTCGAAACTTCCAAACGTATCGATTGCGAGACTCTATGGGAAGCAGACATCGCGAACACTTCTTGCAGATGGACTGCAGGATATAGACAATAAACCGGAAGTACCCGACGTGGAAGACTGGAAGCGCTAAGTCGATGAAACCGAAGTGTCCGACACACTCGGCCAACCCGTGTCCGCACGTCTCGCACTTCAAGTCCTTCTGACTCGTGCCTAAAGAGTAACCCATTAGACCAGTAAAAGACACGACAAGACATGCAATGAATACCAAGTCTGGTGTCCAACACCCCGAAGACGGCCGGCTTTCGTGATTTGCCGGCATTTGAATCGTAAAGCATTTTGTTTATGCATTGGATGTGACTTTGTTTCCGCACATCAATAGCATTGGGGATATTGAATGACAGTTCACTCAACTTCACGCCTACATCACAGCCACGGAACTGCTCCTTCTCCATATCAACACTGTGTCCAACACTGTGTCCACTCACCACAGGTAGTGTAGATTGTTAGCCACCGTTACAAATGTGAAAAGTGCGTTTTGCACTCTAATGCAGTTACATATGTAGTGCACCAAAAACAATATGAGCATGATATTTCCCTGGTTTTCATAGAGATATATGCTATATCGGTAATTTCCATGAGTTAATACTTCATGTTTTATGCCTTTTTCATATGAAATGTTGATATTTTTTAAAGACAACAGAGTTTTGTTTTGTTGAAAAGTTTTATTTTTTTAGAACCAATCGTTTGAATAGTTTTATAGTTTTTTAATTGAATTGATTTTTGTATTCATTTTGAATACAATTACGTTTGACATGACATTCACTTCATTACCAAATGTTTTATTGTTTATATATATAGTGGTCGCCAGATATGAAGTGATTTGCGAAACATTAGACTTCATTGATGACCAAATCGGTGATGAATACCACGAAAAGTCGAAATATTTATCTGAAAATAACGTCAATTATGACCACAATTGGGATCACTATTACGGATCCATTCAAAGAGCCAGACGTGACTTCAGTGACAGTGAGTTGCAGTCAAACAACTCGTGCGGACAATATCTCCAGTTCTTGGCGCAAGACTACTCAGTAAACCTCCGCTGCCCATAATGCTTCTCACGACACCTCCTTCGCTAAGCACCCTTCTCTCCTTAAGTAATAGTCTATTATTTGGTGAGCAATATAGCGCTGTTGCTGACAGACAAAGGGACTCGTTGTGAAGGCATTGAGCACTTCATTAAGCAAGTGATCCAATGGTTGCCAGACATGGATCTCGTCATAAACGTGAGAGACTATCCTCAGGTGCACCACAAATGGCATGACTTACCGGTGCTGTCCTTCTCGAAAGAGGTGACCCAATACCGGGACGTGTTATACCCCGCGTGGACTTTCTGGAGCGGCGGTCCAGCCATTGATCGCTACCCCACAGGCATCGGAAGATGGGATCTAATGCGGCAAAGAATCGTAAAGAATGGCGTCGACTGGCATAACAAGTCTTCGGTGGCATTCTTCAGGGGTTCGCGAACTTCCGACGAGAGGGACCCTCTTATACGGCTGAGTCGAGCGCTGCCTCAGCTCATCGACGCTCAATACACGGCGAACCAGGCCTGGAGGTCAGTGGCCGACACGTTGGGCGAACAGCCGGCGCCCACCGTTACCTTCGAAGACCACTGTGTCTACAAATATCTGGTGAACATGAGAGGAGTGGCCGCCTCTTTCCGATACAAACACTTATTTCTGTGCAAATCTGTTGTGTTGAACGCCGACTCCGATTGGATTGAATTCTTTTACCCTCAGCTCAAGCCATGGATTCATTTCGTTCCGATCGCTAATAATATGAATGATTTGGTCTCAAAGATTGAGTTCTTGGAAGCGAACCATGAGATCGGACGCAATATCGCAGAGAAAGGCTTTGACTTCATTTGGCATCACTTGACCAACGATTCCGTTCAGTGCTATTGGAAGGAACTGTTGGACAGGTATTCAAAGCTTTTGAAATATAAGCCAATACTCGACCCAAACTTAATCAAGATCTTTGAATAAATAAATAATTTATTGAAAATATAATGAAAACAATTTATACATTGAATGCAACGTCAATAACATTGAACAGAGAGAAGGGACAGTCTTTATAATGTGCTTTACATTTGTCTTTCTTGACACCACTTCTTCCCATGCGTTCGGCTTCTCTATAAGCCTTTAATACGCCGGTGCTGTCGGTTAAGGCCGAAGAACTGTATAATCATATAATGAAGATTTTTACATCAGATTTTCATCTCAACTCATGTGACTTACGTCAAGAACATGTCCACCAACTGTCCGAGCAGTCCGTGCGATGCCGACATGAACGGCACTTCTGCCACTTCACAGATGGCCCGCAACAGACAAACTCTGCCCAAACGACTGTGCGTTTTCTCAATAGCGCTGAAGAGGTTGGCCCGCGAATGGACTCGAGTTCTGTTGGAGTCCAGTGTTGCGACCAAATCGCCTGATTGGCCCGTATTTAGTGTTTGTCTAATGGACTGAACGAAGTCGAGAGCACTGGGAAATTGTATAGCAATTGGAAGCTTGAAACTAAAGCCCGATTGTATGGAATTGGATGAAACCATTGGCATCTCGACGCTCGGGATAATCCTAAGCATCGACGCATCCGTCGGTAATATTAATCTCTGAACTCTTTCACAATAACTGTTCGTTATTAACAAAATGAATGAATAAATAGTTGTTTTGAACTTCATTTCGGATGCGATTTGTTTGCAAATTTAAATAAATAATTTGTTTATAAATTTATATGTATTTATAGTCTTTGGTAATAACTGTTCGTTATTAACAAAATGAATGAATAAATAGTTGTTTTGAACTTCATTTCGGATGCGATTTGTTTGCAAATTTAAATAAATAATTTGTTTATAAATTTATATGTATTTATAGTCTTTGGATATCTTTGGTTATATGAGACAAGTTTAGGGTCAATGCGATGACATTGCTTTTATTGGCACTCAGACCATATCATTGATAACACGGTGGATGCTGTCTCATCATTCATGGGAAGTGTAGTTAATTTATGCCAAAAGTCACTCCCGAACAGTGCTGAACATGTATCGCTTTGTCATTCAATTGCTTACTAAATGATAATTTTTATGATCACTTCCAAGCATTTGGTGTTTTCTTATTATTCTTTTAAGAAAACAAATACTTGACAAACATTTGTATGGAAACCACTTATGAGTTCAATATCGGGGTAAAATGAGATTAATCTCAAGAAGTGTTTTATTCAAAATAGTGTTCGTTATGTCAATAACTCTCGCAATGGGTTCGGATGAGTCTTCACCCCATCATAGGGTCCGCCGATTTGTATTCACGAAGAACTCGAAAATTTCTTTTGATATCGACTTATCGATGCCTGTGCCGAGTTTGGGTGGTGTGGACGTGAAACTTGACCTGTCGTTCCCGTTATCCATAACTATGTTGAACGACACACTCATATTCAATCCAATTACACTGCCATACCTTGTAATGCAAGATCCGGCAGCGCCGGCAGTTCCACTCAATTTTCCGTTAATAACTGTTCGTTATTAACAAAATGAATGAATAAATAGTTGTTTTGAACTTCATTTCGGATGCGATTTGTTTGCAAATTTAAATAAATAATTTGTTTATAAATTTATATGTATTTATAGTCTTTGGTTATATGAGACAAGTTTAGGGTCAATGCGATGACATTGCTTTTATTGGCACTCAGACCATATCATTGATAACACGATGGATGCTGTCTCATCATTCATGGGAAGTGTAGTTAATTTATGCCAAAAGTCACTCCCGAACAGTGCATCTCATGTATCGCTTTGTCATTCAATTGCTTACTAAATGATAATTTTTATGATCACTTCCAAGCATTTGGTGTTTTCTTATTATTCTTATTATTCTTTTAAGAAAACAAATACTTGACAGACATTTGTATGGAAACCACTTATGAGTTTAATATCGGGGTAAAATGAGATTAATCTCAAGAAGTGTTTTATTCAAAATAGTGTTCGTTATGTCAATAACTCTCGCAATGGGTTCGGATGAGTCTTCACCCCATCATAGAGTCCGCCGATTTGTATTCACGAAGAACTCGAAAATTTCTTTTGATATCGACTTATCGATGCCTGTGCCGAGTTTGGGTGGTGTGGACGTCAAACTTGACCTGTCGTTCCCGTTATCCATAACTATGTTGAACGACACACTCATATTCAATCCAATTACACTGCCATACCTTGTAATGCAAGATCCGGCAGCGCCGGCAGTTCCACTCAATTTTCCGTCGTTTATGCCTAATTATTATAGTTATGACTCATACTATGGATCACCCGGTGGTTCCCCTTATTATACACACCAAGCAATGAAGCGAAGTATAGATGCGGCGGCGGCACAGCATCGCTACGATCTCTTCACATCAATCGCTGAAAACCTCGAAAGGTTTGTCTCGACAGTCATTGACTGGGAATTGATTTTTGTTTCAAATATAAGGTATGGAATCGATGGTCGGAATTGCATATATCGAGCTATTTGTGAATTAGCCGCCACTCCAATGCTTATTGAATCGCCGTTTCACGAGATATTGGAACACATTTTGATGGTTTCGCGGTCTTATGATGAGGAGGGGCTCCTTCAGGACTATATGAGCGCACAGTTGTATGGGAAAGGAGGCAAAGATTGCTCTCAAAAATTTAGTTCTTGTGGTTTTAGTATATTTCAAAAGCTTGAGGAATGACTTAGTCTTAAATATCCCACGAAAATAAGTGATGCTTTACTAACATATCTCTTACGCCATCCTTCGAGACGGGAGACTTCGGTTGAATACTTTCAGACAGTTCTGAGTTTGGGTTCAAATTAAACGAAAACTGTGTCAATAGCCTGAAAAAAAG